CCCATTGCGTATATAAGCTGTACATTACAACTAGTAGAGGTGAACTACTCCATGATGGAGAAAGAGTGTTTAGCAGCAGTCTGGGGTTTCGAGAAACTTCATACATATATATATCATTCTCAGACATTCCTTGAAGGTGATCATTGTAGCACATGTGGTTTTACCCTTTATCCTATGGTAATTTACCATAGGATAACACCATAAAGTGGAACCTAAACCCTCTTTATGCCACATGACATATGCTACATGCCATATATCATATGCCATGTGTCCTGGTGTGGAACCCAAGTTTCAGGGCCTTGGGCCACTGAACGAAGGAACAGTGCCAAACTCCCAAGCATAAAGCCAAGGAATGACGAAACCGGACCATAGAGTAACTCCCAAGCATACAGCCTAAGCGCCAGACTCCGTTTAGCTCTGTTTTGCATGTTGGTCCTAGCATTGGGATGCTAGTTGCTCTAGGACTATTCCAAGTCGCTCCGTGCTCCTGTCCCTTCACTCCTATTTCAGCATACTAATGGCCTAATGCAAGGATATAAGTACTCCATCAGCTAGCATGGAATGGAATTTGGGCTTAGACCCAAGCTGGACGGAGAACAAAGACAAGCACGCAAGTAGGAGTTAAACTATGTCTCAGGTTGGTTAGCCATGTCTAACCTACCCACTATCCCTATTATACATTTGGAACCCTCCCCCCCTTGAGGAACACATGCTTTGGGCTTTCACCCCAATCCACCCTTAGTACCAAGAGTTAGTCTCTAAGACAAGCTCGAAACTTACTAAATATGGAATGTTCCTAGATTGCGAATTTAGACACGGGATGAACACCATTGTGTTCAGGACAATCTTTACATTCCATAGATATGCCAAATGAGCAAATCTGAACACTTTCCATAAATAGCATTTGGGACTGGAATGAGACTAACACAAAAGGTATAATAGCAAAGGTGTTTGGTAGACACGGTAAGCTATCATCTAGCGAATATTGAAGGACCAATCTCAATATTGCAAAGGTTCCCAACACTAGCAAGTGCAAGTCAACAATATGAGTTTCTCGTCACCGTGCCAAGTATACTTAACTAAATGACAACGTAAGATTTCCTTCCTTAGTGCCCTTTTGGTCTAAGTGCACATGTGATGACCAATTTCTCAACTAGCTTAGGTGGAGATTGATAATAGATCCAGCAATAACAACCTCCTGCCATCGTGGCAGTAAGGAAAGAGTATCCGAAAGGACTAGCTGACAGGTAATTTTTGATACCCAAAGTTATATTCACAACAATCATGCTACCATTACTTCATTATTGAAGCAAAAGAACTTGGTTGGTTGTACTACTTGGTGGGCTTTGAAACTTCATATATATGATTTTGATGTTGTTTATCGCCCAGGGAGTTCTATGGCTAATGTTGATGCCCTTTCTCAAGCTCCTCTTCCTTTTCCACACTTTTTTCATGCTTTCGATGAGTCTATTGTCCGGCATCTGTGGATTTTCTAAACGAGGATTCTATGCCGTCAGCGGTTGTTATACTTGATGTTCAGTGTTCATAAGGGGCAGAGCAAGATCTACCTTCTCTTGATGAGGTTCGCAAGGCTCAAAAGCTTAAGCTATGGATTCGAATGTTTCGATATGGGTTTAAAAGTCTTGCATCACTTACTGATGACTTGCCATTCTAGCATTTACATTCTTAGTATCTTCTTGACGACGGCCTTCTTTTTATTTTGTTGGGTTGGATCCTGATGATCCTTTATGGCTGGTGGTGCCTTCTGTCTTTATTCTACGGTTTCTCCATACCTACTATGATTCTTTTATTCTAGGTGGGCATATGGGACATCGTCGTGTGACCAAGAAGCTGCACAGGTCTTTCTATCGGCCGAAGATGCGACATGATGTTATCCGATATGTGTGTAGTTGCATTTGGTGCCAAGTTTATAATACTCCCCTTCATGCTGCGGAAGGATGGTTGAAGTCAATTGCAATTTTCCATCCATTTGAGTTGGTGGCATTTGATCTTATTGGACCTTTTCCTATTGACAATGAGTATATTATTATTATTTTTAACTATTTGACTCATCAGGTGGAAATTAGTGCTCTTGATAGTGCTTTTACAACTACTATTGGAGACTTCTTCCTCAATCGAGTGGTGTTCTAACATTCTTGTCTGGAGCAGATTCTTTTGGATAATAATCCCGCATTTATAGTTAAGGAATTTCATGTTTTGACGTCTCGGTTGGGGATATGCCACACTTTCACGAGTATTTATCATCCACAGTCATATGGTTTGGTGGAACGGCTTGTTCGGACATTCAAAGGAATGATCACGAAATATGTGAACTTTCAGCATTCAAATTGGGATGGTTATTTGCCATCTCTTCGGTATACATATGCGTATATAGAGTTATATTAGTGCTTCACCATATAAACTTCTATATGGTCATGATACAATATTACCAATGGAGTTGGGTTTACCTTTGCAATTGCCACGAGCTGTCGATGCTAGGTGGTGAGATCAATATTTGATAAGCATTCTTCCATTTGTCCGAGCAAAGTTTGCTGAACACTTAGGGGACAACAACGAAGTTACAACTCCTATTATCATCCACCACAAAGTGGATGACTTAGTGTTAGTCTGTTTTCCCCACTTTATGGTACGTGGTTTATCTAAGGAGCTCTTTGCTTAGTGGAAAGGACTATATTAGGTGTTGCAACAAGTTGGATTGCAAGTTTATGAGGTTCAGTATAATGTCTAACAGGCCAATCCCCCATAAATTGTGCATGTACATTAGTTGAAATGCTTCATACAAAGGGATCATGAACAATTGAGACCACCTACAAATCTGCTGATACCTCCTCTTGACGTTCCTCTAGATCCCGGCCCATTTACAAGAGAACCTTGATGGTCTTCCATTATTCTCAGAGGAGGGGATTATGTGAGGTCCAAGTGTATGGCTATAATGCCATATACTAATCTTAATGTAGTGAAATTTTGGTAGCCGTCAGATTAGTTTAATTTGGATCACTCACTCTTGTATATAAGCTAAGGGTTTTTGGGTTAATTGATATGCACATTTTCTATATTCCCTTTCCATATTCCAAGCACTCATAACTCCAATATGAAATTTAAACTCTTGTCCAAAAAAACAAAACACTCTAAGGATAAATTAGGCAATTCGTCAATTTACTATTAAAGTTCAAATAAAGTACTGATTTACTACTTATTGCAAAGATCATTGTTTTATTTGAAATTATAAGTACCAAAAATTAATTAATGGTGTGATTGTTAAAGCAAGAAATATTAACAACTCTCAAGTAAAATTTGATAAATACAATATTCACAAATCTTATGTATAATCATTTTCAAATTTATCTATATGGTATCTCATCGTTAGAGGTGAATAACACAGTAATTAAGTTTTTTCAACTTAGTGTAATTGTTTATGGGCAACTAAAAGACAATTTTGCAAACATTAAGTAAAATTTATTATGTTGAAGCAAAGAGAGCAAAATTTAGTAGATTAAAATTAATTATAAAACTTAACCATCACACTCATATGCAATCTCAAAACTTGGGCAAAATGGATTCTGGGGAAAATGGACTTGCAAGGGAGAACATCATTGATGACAAACACCACTCCAAAATGCCATTCTGGGGCCTGTGACCAAAACCACTTTGGAATTTGATATGAGTTGCATGAGAAAAACCAAGTGAGAGGCAGTAGGATTTCTGGTGTTGTCTAATATCTATTAGTGCAATAATACAGCATAAAATAGCTTAAAAACAGAATAGAAATTAACAAAATAAATATGTGATCATTCTGGCTAATTGTATATCGATGATTTGTACACCTATGAAAAGCATTTAAGGTAAGAGGACCTTAAGGGACTGAAGAGAAAGCCAGATTTCGCTCTCAATTCTTTTTTTTTTTTTCACTTGTTCTTATGTTTTGTCTCTCGCAGTGCCTGCAATCGAGGAGTAGCATCTATACAAATTGACTTTGAAGAAACGTACCTCATCAAGTTCCCTGTCTCTCTCAAAGGTGGAAGAACTCACCTGTCAGAGAAGCGTGCCCCGGAGCAGATGGCTCCACCTCCAAATTACTCTTGACCCGCTTGGGATCATTGGCTGTCAACTTCCAGAGAAGGTTCTCGTCGCTCGTGATCTCGGGGCTGTTCTCCACATCGCGCTTCCTGGCTCAAGTGCAGAGACTACTAACATGTGGGAAAAAGGCCGGATGCGGGGCTCCATCATGATGAACTTCTGCATTTGTTTCTCCATCTCAGCCCGCTTCTTTGCCAGTGCTACGACATCTCCAGGATCCAGAACACGGTGCCAGAACGATCCGTCATTTTTCGTCCTTGTTCCCGGCCATGAAACTCCTCTGGAACCCAGTCGCCTCGAGATGATATGCGCACTGGGAGCTCGTTTGCAGCCATTTTCTTGCCTGCTGGATGATGAGAGTAGCCACCAGTCGAGAAGAGTGGATCATCCTCCGGATCAGGACGAGTGGCTGAAAACAGCCTTGTCTGCTCGTCAACTTCATTTGCAGGAAAGACGACAAGAGGATCCCTCCATCATGACGTTTCCCTGGCTTCCCTGCTGGCCATGCACTGGATCAGCAGCACGAAAGAGTGGATCGTTTCTGGATGCAGACTTGTGGCGAGCACCAGTGGGAAGGCCGCCTTGGTGGCCTCAGGAGCTCGCGAATTTGGGGGTCAGCCCGAGCTCTCTCGAGCATCATGGAGCACCACCAAGGTCTCCCGAGCATCATGGAGCTGGACATCCACCACCGAGCTCTCTGCCCAAAAAAGAACATCCAGCAGCATAATAAAAAACAAGCATGGTGTATAATGGAAGTTGTAAATTATCAAAGATTATTCACTTTAAAATAAATGAAAACTTTACCTTATAGTGATTAGAATAAATAAAAACTTTAATTTATAATGATTAGTTCCAAAAATTGTATCAAGAATCAACAACTTATTATTTGCAAATTGTCACGCGAGGAAATGCGGCTAGAAGGGCATTGCCAGCAGCAGACCTTCGGCCTCGGCAACCAGCCCGGCTCATCCCAGCACATCTGCCATCGCCTGGAAGTGAATCACATGGAGAAATGCTGTACTCGGCCACCATAGATCGAAAGTAGTCGAGTGCCACACGGAGCTTCCCACCGTGATTGCAAGCCAGGAGAATCGCCTGGAAACTTATCTGGTTTCTCGCCTCGCCCTCCATCGCCATGCTGCCAAAAACTCAGTGGCTTTCGCTCATGGCCATTCTGTGCGCAGCCATGGATCATCGCGTTCCACGGGACAATGAGCCGATCAGGCAACGTGGAGAAGATCTTCCCGGGCTGCAAGAGATTCCCCCTTTGAGTGCTCGCGGCAATCCAGATCGCTGTGACCTCACCAGCATGGGCTCCCGCGCTTGGACGAGGGCAATTGCTCTGGATGTACGACGCTATCGTGCTGTGGCATTTGGTCGAACAAGACTCTGGCATCGATCAAGCTCCTGTGCAAAGCAAGTGCCGCCACCATTGCCGACTAAGCAACGAGATCGCGCTGTGGCATCCGTGCAAACATCTTCATGGCTTCTTCGAGGTGGCCGAGGCCAAGATCATGTAAGTCCTCAGGTCGATCCAAGAGAATGCGAGCTTCTTCGAGCTGGTTTCTCTCGGCCAGTGCTGTGATATTGTCGACCACGATGCAACGTTCTTCTGTGCCATGGCTTCAAACAGAGACCTTGCTTCTTCCAGGTTGGACGTTGCCGCTAGCATTGCGTTCCACGAGATTAAGTCGCGGTGTGGCATTTTACTGACAAGAACAGTTCATCCCAGCTCGTTGGTTTCGGGGATTCTCATAAACAAACTTAGCGCGTCGTTAACAAGACCTTTCTTGCATACCCAGGAACCATAAGAAACTCTGTTGTGTTCTAGCATTCCATCAAAGATCTGGCTTTCTTGATCCATATGCCCGTTATGGGCATATGCTTTAAGTAGAGAGTTCCAGAAAACTACGTCCCATTCTGGAACCTCAAACAATTCTTGGCATTCCTCAAAGTTTCCACGGTTTGCACGAGCCGTCATAAAATTCAGCCAAGCAACAATATCCCTTTGTGGCATCTGATCAAACAGCTCTTTTTCTTTCTCAAGATACCCACTTTGGGCATAAGCGCCAAACAGCAAGTTCCAGGAGAATCTGTTGGGCTCGTGGATGCTGATAAACACCTGCCATGTCAATCCGCGCGCTCGCACCTTCCATAGAGTTGGATGAGAAGATTTGCGAGGTACCTGCTGGATTGGTGGTGGCTGCGCGTGGCGCCTTGACGCAATTCGATGCAAGCTGTGAGAAGTTGCGCGTAGTCGTCGAGCGACAATGCACGCTGCTCTAGATCGTCCACTCGTGGTGAGCCGGGGGGACTACTGCCCGACCAGCAGGACCGGGCAGCACTGACTGCTGTGTTCTAGAGGCTTGAAGTACGTCTGCGTGGTAGTACCGGTGTTTTCCTGGATAGAGCTTCGATTTTTCAATGCCACTTTTTCTTCATATCGCTCCTATTTAAATGCGCTTTCAAAGAACAAGCCAAACTTTGCAAAACAATCCCTGAGAGGAAACTTACGATCACAGAGCCGCCATACCAGCGCCATCGGTGGCAGGGAGCGCCTTTGCAACATGGTGAGAACCGAAACAACACCAAGCAAGCCTATGAAACTATAGTATATTCGAGAGAAGTGATTTGATCTGTAAGGCCGCTCGTATTTATAGCTCGAGGCAGCATACAATGCTTGAGTGGCGCCTCTTGGGACGGCATCTTTTTGTCCTTTAAAAGTTAGTTGAGGAAGTCGTTCCGTGTTTGTCAATTCCTTTTCTTTTCTGTAATGCTGGGACATAGAACAACACACGAAGTGAAACTGTGAATCCAGATGAGTAAAGACAACATTTTTAGTTTTTTCACAGTTTATATAAATTTGAGTCCAGATTATATGAAAAAGTTCCTAACGTTACACTGCAGCAACAACTTTGCAGGAAACGCACCATTTTATCATTGACAGTCTCACGTGAATAGACTCTAAAACATACTCTTATTTTATATATATATATCACTTTTCATGATTCGAGATTCGTTCCCGTGGTTCTTCGAGGCCCGAGCTTTGGCAATTCTTCAGCGGAAGCAGCGGCTGCCATTCCAGCGCCACCCTCGATGGCAGCTGTTGTCACACCCGTACTAATTGCATTGCACGCAGCGAAATCCATCCCACTACCATCCTCCGCAGCAGCGATGCGCCATCGCCTTGGTGATCCCCCCGACCTTCACTCCCACCGCTAGGTGTGCCTGGGCCTGGTTTTGATGCTCCAATCGAGTCTTATTGCTTGCCGATCATTGGAGCAATCGATTGGAAGTCCGAGATTTGGAGAAGAGACGAGAAGATTCAGACATTTTATATCAAGGCTTGAACAATGTATATTTTATTGCTGGAACTCATGCAATGCCATGCAGCATCCCACGATACAAAAAACACGTCATCAGTGTCTTGATTGAGCTTGGCACTGCAGAATGATGACATCAAAGGCAATTATGATGCTGATTTTTAGCTTGGGCTTACCCCGTGAAACTGGAGGTTTCGGTTGCGCCAGCTCCAACCCCTCTGGCAACGGTGGCAACTGTTTTCATACCAATACCGCCCCGACTGGCAGCGCTGGGCAGCAGCCTTTGCGATTCCTCCCACGTCCACGCCCATGGCCAGCATCATCACAAATATGGCGAGTGCCAAAAACAACATGAAGAAAGCCTTGTTCTTCATGATCTGCTAGAGTAAGCTTGTTAGAAGTGGTTTGATTTGGGCTCATATTTATAGCTCGAGCCAGCACACAATGCTAGAGAGTTGTCGTGGGAGTCCTTATCTATCCATGTTTGAGACTTTCTTCTCGTTTCTATAATATCTCTCCAACCCTTCAAATGAGGATCACTAAGTTCCCGAAAATCGCCATTCCATTACAAGTTCGTATTACAAGCTTACAGATAGATATGTTAAAAGAATCGCATTAGCCAAGTGTGTGTGTGTCAGTTAAATATGGGACGGTTGAGATCATGTCAGATCGACGGCTTTGATTTAATTAACACGACAGCCAAGATTTTATGCAGTGTACGGCTCAGATTGTATATAAAGGAACGGTCCAGAAAGTTTTAAATGCACGGTCTAGATTGTACAACAATGACTGTCAATTAGACGGCCCAGATTTCAAATTCTTATATCTTTCAAGAATATACTATTCTTCTATTTGTACGAAAAATACCATTCACACATCATTTCTTAAAATGGGCGTAAGCCCGGGCGAGGCTTACTGGAGTCCACACCCGGTCAAAGCCCTCACCTTGGTCGGATCTTGATAGCCCCTGCTTGCCAGCGCCTTGGGTTTGCTCCTGAGATGATCTCCCCCCTGCCCTGGCTCCCGCCACGCCTTCTTATCGCCGCCCCGCTGCATCCCAAGAAGTCCCCCCTGATGCGCCGCCCGATCCTCTGTAACAAACCGGTCTCCTCCCCGCCACGTCGGACCCCATGCCAAGTCATCTCTCTCCATGTCATCATCCACGTGTCCCGCCTCACTTTGTTCTACGGGCTCGTTATTGGCCGCTACAACGTACTTAGCTTTCAGACACTTTAATGCCCTAAGAAAGGGGAAGTAAGCAAGCGCGAGTTTTCTCTGGTAAGCAAGCGAGCTTGAGCTGAAATACTGCGACTCTCTCTGGTAAGCTTCATCTCTAACTATGGCTCGCAAAATCTCCACGCCACCGCCCCCGCCGCCTCACCGGGAGCACACGAGGAGGACGCCGCCGCCCAAACCATCGCCAAAGAGGGCGCCGACAACTTCATCTCCGCCACCAAAGAGGTCTCCACCGGCGCCAGCCAAGAGGCACAGTCACTCACCAGCAAATCCCACAGAGGGACATCACTCACCAGCAAAGCCACCACCGAGTTCTCCTGAGCATCATGGAGCTGGACATCCACCACCGAGCTCTCCGCCCACAAAGGAACATCCAGCAGCGGAGCCAAAGAGGCACCCTGGACATCGACGAGCTGGTGATGGAGCTGCTACAGGGCCGCCACCTTCTTCTTCGCCGCCCAACAAGGCCGACACTGTAACCTGGCGACCAAGGAGGGCCGGGCCGTCATCGCCACCACCTTCGAGCATAACGTGGAACCCAAGGCCATCGCCACCACCTTCGACCATAACGTGGAACCCAAGGCCGCCATCGCCACCACCTTCGACCATAACGTGGCAACCAAGGCCCCTTGGCTTGGGCACCTCTCCACCTACGGCGTCGTCAGCACCATCTTCAGCAGCAGCATTCGTGGCATCACCTGGTGTCCTCGCGGCAGGCATCGTTCTGCTCCTGCTCGCACTGGTAGCCATCGGCACTGGAGTCTGGATACTCTTGAAGAGGAGAAGGAACAAGGTGCACGGTGACATCCACCACGACGACATCCTGGTGGAGTATGGCCATCAACCTAGCGGTGGCAACAGCGGCAGCAGCAGCAACCAGCGGGAGCACCTCATTACCAAAGTGGAGCCTCGACCATCATCGCAGTTGAAAGCTGGCAGGAAGAAGCCGGCTGCTGACCACAGAATTCGCGAGCTCCTGAGGCCACCAAGGCGGCTGCCACCGTCTGCTCTTCCCGCTGGTGCTCGCCACAAGTCTGCGTCCGGGAACGATCCACTCTTTCGTGCTGCTGATCCAGTGCATGGCCAGCAGGGAAGCCGGGAAAACGTCACGATGGAGGATCCTCTCGTCGTCTTTCCTGCGCATGAAGTTGACGACAAGCCAAGGCTGTTCTCAGCCACTCCGGAGGATGATCCACTCTTCTCGACTGGTGGCTACTCTCATCATCCAGCAGGCGAGAAAATGGCTGCAAACGAGCTCCCAGTGCGCCTATCATCTCGACGCGACGGGGTTCCAGAGCAGTTTCATGGACGGGAACAAGGACGAAAGGTGGCGGATCGTTCTGGCACCGTGTTCGATCCTGGAGATGTCGCAGCACTGGCAAAGAAGCGGGCTGAGATGGAGAAACAAATGCAGAAGTTCATCATGATGGAGCCCCGCATCCGGCCTTTTTCCCACAGGTTAGTAGTCTCTGCACTTGAGCTGACAATATGGACTGACGAAGCTGAATCGATCAGGAAGCGCGATGTGGAGAACAGCCCCCAGATCATGAGCGACGAGAACCTCGTCTGGAAGTTGACAGCCAATGATCCCAAGCGGGTCAAGAGTGATTTGGAGGTGGAGCCATCTGCTCCGGGGCACCCTCCTCTGACAGGTGAAAACGCCGACCAGGTACGAGCCTTTCTGTATCCTGGTGAATTCTTCCACCTCTGAGAGAGACAGGGAACTTGACGAGGTACGTTTCTTGGAAACCAATTTGTCTAGATGCTACTCTTTGATTGCAGGCACTGCAAGAGAAAAACAAATAGCAGGAAGAGCGAAAGCTCGTCATTTATCTGTCAGTCCCTTCTATGGGCTTGAGTAAGTCACAGGAAGGTCCTGTTGCCTTCCTCGCTTTTCATCGGGGTACAAAAGTTTAGGAGGAACCATCAATCAATAGCCAGGATGATCACAAATTTATTTTGTTAATTTTTTATTCTGTTTTTATGAAATCTAAACTATCGATGCTGCACTATTTAGTGTTAATGATCATGTCAAAATTGAACAAGCCGAAAATGTATCTATATCTATGAAGTCCCTCTTTTAGCTCAAACTCAAAGCTCGATAGAACCAAGTCAGTGGTCGAAATAGAAGATAAGAACTCTGGAGCATATATATTAGGAGTGTATACGCTGCAAGAAAAGTGGTAAATGCTACATCGTCTCTTCTCACTAGGAGGCTGTTGACAATCTCTTGGGCAATCCAGCACCCAAACAGATTAATCACGCAGAGTGATCAGTGACGGGACCAGAAAGTGGTCTATGCTTCAGCCATCCAGCATGGTATTATGCGTTTAAAATTAATCAATTAATAATTATTTTCTGATATTAAGTCTTGTTAAAGTTATAAATATTTGCAGACTATGTTACATTTATAGATGCAACCGAAAATTGCTCACAATTCTCTTCGCTGGTCACAAGCAAATTCATTTGAATGAATTTGGTTAGATCACATCAGGTTGGTCAAAATTTGTGTTTATGTTTCTTACTTTTCTCTCTTCTTCCTGCTGTCCCAGTTCGAGCTGTTCGAAGGTCATGCATGAAAGGCAAGCTTTCTCTGGAATCCTGCCTTTGCAGATTCGACATGAGCACGTAGAGCGCCGAGTCCCCTGGTTCCATCATGAAGATATTCTCTGCGGCTCGAGCTGCAGCATCGATGTTCTTGCCGCTGCCATGAACTTTGCAACTGCTGATCAAGCACGTGAGGAAAGGGCATCACTAGCAGCAGACCTTCGTGATGGAATGGGAAAAGCTACTATTGAATGCTTGTTGTATACAATCTTATATACTTGTTCATCTCCTTTAATCTTTCCTAGATTCCTGCCGTAGATTCCTGTGTCCTTGATGCCTTGATTCGTGCTCCAACACTCCCCCTTGATCTGATCCATCCTAGAGATCAGACCATATCGCCTACTCCCCCTGCGTTGGTACGGTCCTAGCTTGTGGTGAACTGTTGTGTCCAGAGTTGCCTTCGCAAGCAGCTTGCACTCGTAAGCATGGAGCATTGGAACCAGTATTGGCTCGTCTTGGAGTTCCAGCTGCTCCTTTTCATCGATTCTGAGCTCCACATTCACGCTCATGATTGCACAGCACGTACTAGTATGTGATCATGTTGTCAGTGGACTCCTCAGCTCTGCCAAGTTCGCCCCCATGATCACAATGCCTATCAGTAGCAAGTGTTGAGATCTTCATGAGAAAGTATTCATTCTTTCCAGGCAATCACCTGTGTTGTCATTCAGGGTTGTTTGCAATTCAAAACGTAGAGTGTTTCTTTAGCTGCCTTCCATAGCAACATTGCATGCTACACCAAAAACTCACTGTATTAGTAAATTAAAATAATGTACCTGGTTGTATCGTTTATTGTCAACGTTCAAACTCGCCGCTCGGGGATGGCAGCTATGTCGGCCCGGATCGTCTCCCTCATCTCCATGTCCTCCATGAAAGTGTCGACGAACATGCTGATCCCTGGCATTCCATCTGGGTAACAAGCTCCACAATCCTCAGCACACAGCTCTTGCATCTGCCGCTGCTGTCCTGGATTGAGTTGCTCTCCAAGAAGAACCTAGCAGTGTCCATGTACGAGAGCCAGAAGGAGCACTCATCAAAATATATGACTTGAGAAACACGTTCTGGTAAAGCATCTCCTTTTTCTCCCCCTCAGAACGTGGTTTAGAAACACCTTAAGAAGTTTGCAATATACTTATGTTGTGAACACGTAGAACCCATGTATTAGAAGATACTACAAACTTCAAAATTACTGACCAAGACCTATCATTTTCTGGCTAGACCTGTAAAGTATCTGGACCTACACTTTCTAGGGTCAGTGCCATGTAGAATTGTACCTTTCTCTGAGTTGGAGGCTCTAGGAGCACTATGGCATTGTATTTTCCTCCAAGAGTGGCAAATCTGCTTAGTACTAATACAGCAGTATCCTGATAGCACTGTAACCTGCCACCTTTGGTTTAATGCCAGAAATAAGAAATACCTTCGTCTTGGTTGCGTAAGAGAACATTGTCCCTCCATAGCAATCCATCTTACAGATATCCTATACATTCAAAACACATGTAAGTACAAAAGAGTAAGTGCTGTACCTGTCTGAAGACTGGTACATCATAGATTTCAGCGTTGCATAAGATGCATCTCATCATCTTCTTCTCCTTCCCACCATGCTTGTATGGTGCAGAAATCTGGAAGGAGATTCCAATGTGGGGCCAGAATTGTATGAAATGCTGCCATCTTTGCTCTCCCCAATTTCGTCTTGACCATGGAGGGTCCAATGTGTGGCCAGAATTGTATGAAATTCTGCCGAGACAGCATCTTCATCTCCAAGACTTATGCTCACATGGCTAGAGCTCTTCGAAATTCTTCGAGAAAGAAATGAAAGAGTGGATCTGATCACAATGGATCGAGTCACAACAGACAATGGAGTGACGGTTGAAGTCGTCTACTATTGCACCACAAATCATCTCCAAACATTGAAACCAAACTTGAATAATATTGAGGTACCTTAGTTTCCCAAAGAGCCTTCATTGTAGCTTCGTTCAACAGTCCTTGCATGTGTATCAGATCCTTTGGCCTTCCACAAGTAGTTGACGATGCCAAGCTGTAAGGTCAAACTATGAGAATAAAAAGATAGGAAAAGGAATCCATGCCCTGCTTGGGTGTGACCAGCCATCATCAAGACAATCTCTGTGACAATCTGTGGTGAAGGTCTCCGGTTTGTTGTGCTGCAGCAAGACCTCAGTAGCATCCACTGGTGGTGTATCTCGCACAAGCTCAGCTTTGCCAAGAATCGCACGGCACAGCAAGACGTCAATATCCGTGCCTCTGCAACTCAGACGAGACAGACTCTCCGGACTAAGATATATCCCCACACCCTAGGTGGAGTCCAAAACCATATGACACTGAGAAGCTCGTTTCGAGAACACCCCTACCAACCCTGATGCAAATTCACATCCCCACCTCGCACTGAGCGTCTCAAACGCTTCTCGGCGAGCCTGACTGCCAGGACAGTCGTAAAGAACTTTGTACACCGAAGTAACATCGGCCACTGCCGAGAGTCGCCACTGCCGAGAGTCGCCCGAGCCCCGCTAGAAACGCTGCTTTGACGTCGACAAGTTTTGGATCGCCAACCTCGAGCTTCGCGAGCCTGCCGCCGCTGGAAACGACAAGATTGGAGAGCTTGTTGCGGCTAGAAGTCACGTCTTCCACTTCGCCACCCTCGTCTTCCACGGTGGAACAAGCCCCGGCCGTGTCGGTGGAAGAGCTCGAGCTTCCTTTTTCCACTGCCAAGGAGCGTCTCCACATCGTCGAGCGATCCAGGGCCATCGAATGGCTGGATCGGGCTGAAAAAACCAGCGCTGTCAAACCAACCAATCGAGTTCCTGTATCCAGTCCCGGTATTTAGCTGGATCATATGCGCGAAGAACACCGCCAGATGACAGCTCGCAAAGAAAGTCTCCGCAATTTCCCTGCCAGCGACGGTAGGCCTCGCACAGAGCAGCACTAATTTCCACGGGAAATCCTTCCAAATCCCTGCTGGTTGCTAAGTGGACTCCTTCACGAGGGACACCATCACCTGGACTCGGGGTATGTCCGCTTTTGCTCGCGATAGTCAGGATGCGCCCATCACCTGTCGACATCTCAATCGACAGGTGTCAATCTTGACAGTGCCTGCAGAACAAGATCAACTTGATCGGACCCTCTTGCTCCACCAAATTCTGTTCGGCCTTATCCTGAACATTGCTCAAGATCTTGACTGCTGTGCACGACTTGCATGCAAATCCACACAAGACTGGAACACTGCTTGCCTGACCCTATCACTGTTCCATGCAGCTTGCTGCCGCCTATCAAAAAATCTCTACAGAGACAGAGTGCAGGGGAAGAATAGGAAGAAGCCCTACTGAGGCAGAGCTTTGCCTGTGATGGCTCTCATGATCTGCATTACGTTGCATCAAGCCCACTGCCCTGCTGAACAGAAAATTCTCTGATACCATGATGGAACGGGAAAAGCTGCTGTTGAATGCTTGTTGTATACAGTCTTATATACTCGTTCATCTTCTTTAATCTTTCCTAGATTCCTGCTGCAGATTCCTGTGTCCTTGACGCCTTGATTCCTGCTCCAACACTTCGGCCTCGGCAACCAGCCCGGCTCGTCCCAGCACATCTGCCATCGCCTGGAAGTGAATCACATGGAGAAATGCTGTACTCGGCCACCATAGATCGAAAGTAGTTGAGTGCCACTCGGAGCTTCCGCAAGTCAGGAGAATCGCCTGGAAACTTATCTCGTTTCTCCATCGCCATGCTGTCAAAAACTCAGCGTGGCCATTCTGTGCGCAGCCATGGATCATCGCGTTCCACGGCACAATGCTCCGATCAGGCAACGTGGAGAAGATCTTCCCGGCCTGCAAGAGATTCCCCCTTTGAGTGCTCGCGGCAATCCAGCTCGCTGTGTCTCTCACCATCATGGTCGCGAAGAGCTCCCGCGCTGGACGAGGGCAATTGCTCTGGATGTAAGCTCCCAGCATCGTGTTTCACGCGACGATATCATGCTGGGACATTTGGTCGAACAAGATGCCATCCATCAACCTCCCGTGCAAAGCAATTGCCGCCACCATTGCCGTCTAAGCGACGAGATCGCGCTGTGGCATCCGTGCAAACATCTTCATGGCTTCTTCGAGGTGGCCGTGGTTGGAGTAGGCCAAGATCATGTCAGTCCACACCACGTCGTCGGGGAGGTGAATGCGAGCTTCTTCGAGCTGGTATCTCTCGGCCAGTGCTGTTATATTGTCGACCGCGATGCAACGTTCTTCTGTGGCATGGCATCAAACAGAGACCTTGCTTCTTAGGCTGGACGTTACCGCTAGCATTGCGTTCCACGAGATTTAAGTCGTGGTGTGGCATTTTACTGAAAAGCTCCTTGGCTTTTTTATTATGCTCAAGCTGGGCATATGCAGTGACAAGAACAGTTCATCCCAGCTTGTTGGTTTCGGGGATTCTCATAAACAAATTTCGTTAACAACACCTTTTCTTGCATACGCAGTAACCATAACAGCCCAAGAAACTATGTTGTGTTCTACCATTCCATCAAAGATCTGCCTTGCTTGATCCATATGCCCGTTGTGGGTATATACTGTAAGTAGAGAGTTCCAGAAATTTACATCCCATTCTGGAACCTGATCAAACAATGATCGGCATTCCTCCAAGTTTCCACGGTTTTCACAAGCTGTTATAAAAATCATCCATGCAGAAATATCCCTTTGTGGCATCTGATCAAACAGATGCTCAATCTGTGCTCTTGCACCTTCCATAGAGTTGGATGAGAAGATTTGTGAGGTAATTGATATACACATTCACTGTATTTCCTTTTCATATTCCAAGCACTCACAATGTTAAATTATCATTCATTCCAATCTGGTATATGTTTTAAAACTTAATTATTAAAAGTTATTATTTAATTTTTCATATATTCTCTCATCTCTCATTATCCCATATAACTAAAATACCATTTTTTTATGATAATAAGAAATAAACATGGTGTACAATAGGAACTATAAATTATCAAAAATTATTCACTTTAAAATAAATGAAAACTTTACTCTATAGTTTTTAGTTCCAAAAATTACATCAAGAGTCAACAAATTATTATTTGTAAATTTCACCATATATTATAGTTACTAAATTGTCTAAATCCTAATAGTAAAATAATCTTTATTTTGTTCACCAAAAAATACTTTCATGTGATTTGTGTTTTTCTATATACATACACTTTATGCATCATTCTTGTATAGTCAATAAGTTGACAAAAAATACTTTTTATGCAAATTGTTGATATTCTGCATAGCCAAAAAACTATTTTAATAAAGAAGTTTATCAATTGATTTGTTTTTTTCCACAATTTGTATATATTTATTATAACTTTATTTTGATATAAAATCCCATTAAATCATATGAATCACCTAATTTTGAATATCTACCAAATTTTTTTAATTAAATAGTGATTTTTCTTTAGTCAGATCAAGTTGACCATAATAGGGAATCTTATTATTATCACAATACTTTCTGTGGTAAATAATCTGCACATAATTAAACTATTTGAAAGTTTGATTTATGGAAGATAAGAACTCTAAAGCATATAAATAAATGCTACATTGGTAGGCTTTTGACAATCTATTGAGTAATCTAACATGCCCAAATAGATTCATGCATCAGTAGTGATCAGCAATGGGATCAGAAAATGGTTTATGCTTCATTTATCCATTTAAAATTAATTAATTAATAATTATTTTTCTGTTTGTATTATGTTACATTTTTAGATGCTAGAAAGTTAACCGAAATTGCAGTAATCGCAATTCTTCCCACAAGCTAATGAACGAATTTCAAATTTTGTGTTTATGTTTTTTTCTTCCTAGGGTGCAGCGTGCAAATCTTGAAAAACCTAGAAGGCCGCACTTGAACGTTGGAAGGCAACCTTGAATCCTGCTTTTGCGGATTCGACATGAGCACGTAGAGCGCCAATTCCATCTCCAAGAGTTTCTCTGCGGCACGAGCTGCCGCATCGATGTTCTTGCCGCTACCATGAACTTTGCAAGCGCTGATCAAGCTCTTCCACGCGAGGAAATGCGGCTGGAAGGGCATCACCAGCAGCAGACCTTCGGCCTCGGCAACCAGCCCGGCTCGTCCCAGCACATCTGCCATCGCCTGGAAGTGACTCACTTTTGGAGAAATGCTGTACTAGGCCACCATATCGAAAGTAGTCGAGTGCCACACGGCGATGGAGGGCGAGGCGAGAAACGAGATAAGTTTCCAGGCGATTCTCCTGACTTGTAATCACGGTGGGAAGCTCCATGCTGCCAAAAAACTCAGCGGCTTTTCGCTCATGGCCATTCTGTGCGCAACCAGGGATCATCGCGTTCCACGACACAATGCTCTGATCAGGCAACGTGGATAAGATCTTCCCGGCCTGCAAGAGATTCCCCCTTTGAGCGGCAATCCAGCTCGCTGTGTCTCTCAGCTCCCGCGCTTGGACGAGGGCAATTGCTCTGGATCTAAGCGTGTTTCACGCGACGCTATCGTGCTGTGGCATTTGGTCCAACAAGACTCAAGATCCCGTGCAAAGCAATTGCCGCCACCATTGCCGTCTAAGCGACGAGATCGCTCTGTGGCATCCATGCAAACATCTTCATGGCTTCTTCGAGGTGGCCGTGGTTGGAGTTGGCCAATATGATATTTTGGTTCCGCGTTTGAAATTTTCTTCTTTTTCTATAATGCTCATAAAATCTCTCCAGCCCTTCAAATGAGGATCATTAAGTTCCACAAAATCGCCAAGACTCGGAGACAATGCGACTGGAACCAGCATCCATACAATGCAGCAAATAACCTGTATTTGGTTAACAAAACTTGTAAAAGCATCCCAGAGCTTTGCAAATACCCCATACTTATGGAAGCCGCATTTACTATTTTGGATAAAAGCCAAATACAGGTCGGGTATGTAATATTGCTTCTATCTACTCGTTCTTTATCTTCTGGAAGGAGCCTTTGAGCTTGAGACGTTGTATGCGAAAACAAAAGAAAAGACAAGAAACAAAATAAAAGAGGCAAACAAAATCCTTGGCTTGTCTTCTGGAAGGAGACTGCCCCGTTTTTACGCCCTGCATAAGAGAAACAACCAATAGAACTTTTGCAGAGGAAGATATACTTACTCCACCTCCGGACAATGGACTGGACACTTGCAGCACCCCACGTCCCCAAAGGCATCCTGGGCAGCGTCACGCCCGAAGACCAGCCGATAGATCTTCTTCATCCTCTCCAGCGAAGCGCCAGCGTACTGACAGACCAGAGTGGCATAGACCTCGGGTTCTTCGGTGATGACATGTGCAGCCACTCCTCCCGCTTGCTGGATTGAGCTGAGCCGTGGTCGTAGCTCGTCAGTGCAAGCGTCGGGCATGTCAAAAGCGATTCCCGATGCCGAAGAGAGAGCTGCAATGCTCCTGGGGTCTTGGATGAAGGTACGCCACCATCGAATCTCAGGGACGCTCCCGTTCCAGACTGCTTCTGGGAACATGCGCGCGACTTTCACTCTGAATGACTCCAGTAGCTTCCTCTTGAACAGGGCTTTGAGCGAACTCAAGGTCGACCGCATCGAAGCCTTCTCCCGGTTTAGTGAAGTGATCTGATCTTTCAAGTCAGCGATCTGCTGCCGCTGCTCCAAGTTCTCCTCTATCAAAGCAGTGATCTGCTCCCGCTGCACCGACTTCTCGTCTTCCCAAGCAGCGATCTTCACATCCGAAGCAGCAATCTGCTCCCGCTGCACCAAGTTAGATCACTGCTTTGAATGTGAAGATTGCTGCTTTGGACGTGAAGATTGCTGCTTTGGAATACGAGTGTTGTCACAAACTTGCTACCACTAGACTCAGCTGCCATCTCTACCGCTGCCTCCTTCATCTTCCCTTTCTTCTCCTCCTCCACCTGCGCTGCCTGTGCCGCCACCTCTACCGCTGCCTCCCCCTTCATCTTGCCTTTCTTGCACTGCCTGCGCTGCCTCTTCCGCGAGCAACATGGCCTTCGCATAGTTCTGGAAACGCAGCGCCTGCCGGTACAGCAATCCAGTGTGATCTTTGCTATTGGCATTAGGGCAGTACGCAACAAAGCAGCCCTGTTCTATGAACTTAACGCACGGCCCAGCCTCCCTTACCATGAGGATGAAGGTTTCGCTCCACGCCAACCTCTTCCGAGAGACCTAGGGTGTTGAGCCACGCGTCCACGTCAGCCACGAAACCATTGTCGTTGCATAGATCGTCCATCTTCGACTCGGGGGCACCGGCCAGTCCTTGCGAAGCTCGTAGTAGAGGATGGTCAGAGACACAGGGCTAACCGGTGGACGCGTCGGAGGTGCCGGCGGCTGCGGTCTCTTCTGCTTCTCCTTGTTCTTGTACCCCATCGCCCCCTAATGCCCTAATCCCGCCGGCTAACCTAGCCTTTCGTAGAAACTTAAATGCCCTAAAAAAGGAAGCGAGCTTGAGCTGAAATACTGCGACTTTCTCTGGTAAGCTTGATCTCTGACTATGACGCCACCGCCCCCGCCGCCTCACCGGGAGCACGCGAGGAGGACGCCGCCGCCCAAACCATCGCCAAAGAGGGCGCCGACAACTTCATCTCCGCCACCACTCCACCGGTGCCAGCAGTCATTCACCACTGGTCAGTGATCAGGATGTGGAGGAGGCGTCTGTGCAAGCGATGGTAGCCGGATACTTTCTGTGCCACAGAGGGACACCACTCACCGGCAATGCCACCAGCGAGTCCTGAGCATCATGGAGATGGACATCCACCAGCGAGTTCTCCAGAACATCATGGAGCTGGACATCCACCACCGAGCCATCCGCCCACAAAGAGACACCATGGACATCGACGAGCTGGTGATGGAGATGTTACAGGGCCACCACCTTTTTCTTCAGCGCCCAACAAGGCCGACACTGTAACCTGGCGACCAAGGATGGCCGGGCCGCCATCGCCACCACCTTCGAGCATAACGTGGAACCCAAGGCCGCCATCGCCGCCCTTCGACCATAACAAGGCCCCTTGGCTTGGGCACCTCTCCGCCTACTGCGTCGTCAGCACCATCTTCAGCAGCAGCAGCATTCGTGGCATCACCTGGTGTGCTCGCGGCAGGCATCGTTATGCTCCTGCTCGCGCTGGTAGCCGTCGTCACTGGAGTCTGAATACTCTTGAAGCGGAGAAGGAACAAGGTGCACGATGACATCTTGGTGGAGTATGGCCATCAGCCTGGCAGTGGCAACAGCCGCAGCAGCAGCAGCCACCAGGAGCACCTCATTAATGTTCCCCTGACCAAAGTATTGCCTCGACCATCTTCGCAGTTGAATGCCGGTAGGAAGAAGGCAGCTGCTGATCCCCGAATTCACGAGCTCCCGAGGCCACCAAGGCGACTACGACCGTCTGCTCTTCCCGCTGGTGCTCGCCACAAGTCTGCGTCCGGAAACAAGCTCGCAGTGGATCCACTCTTTCGTGCTGCTGATCCAGTGCGGAAACGTCATGATGGAGGATCCTCTCGTCGTCTTTCCTGCGCATGAAGTTGACGACAAGCCAAGGCTGTTCTCAGCCACTCCGGAGGATGATCCACTCTTCTCGACTGGTGGCTACTCTCATCATCCAGCAGGCGAGAAAATGGCTGCAAACGAGCTCCCAGTGCGCCTATCATCTCGACGCGACGGGGTTCCAGAGCAGTTTCATGGACGGGAACAAGGACGAAAGGTGGCGGATCGTTCTGGCACCGTGTTCGATCCTGGAGATGTCGCAGCACTGGCAAAGAAGCGGGCTGAGATGGAGAAACAAATGCAGAAGTTCATCATGATGGAGCCCCGCATCCGGCCTTTTTCCCACAGGTTAGTAGTCTCTGCACTTGAGCTGACAATATGGACTGACGAAGCTGAATCGATCAGGAAGCGCGATGTGGAGAACAGCCCCCAGATCATGAGCGACGAGAACCTCGTCTGGAAGTTGACAGCCAATGATCCCAAGCGGGTCAAGAGTGATTTGGAGGTGGAGCCATCTGCTCCGGGGCACCCTCCTCTGACAGGTGAAAACGCCGACCAGGTACGAGCCTTTCTGTATCCTGGTGAATTCTTCCACCTCTGAGAGAGACAGGGAACTTGACGAGGTACGTTTCTTGGAAACCAATTTGTCTAGATGCTACTCTTTGATTGCAGGCACTGCAAGAGACAAAACATAAGAACAAGTGAAAAACAAATACGTCATTTATCTGGCTTTCTCTTCAGTCCCTTCTATGGGCTTGAGTAAGTCACAGGAAGGTCCTGTTGCCTTCCTCACTTTTAATCGGGGTGCAAAAGTTTAGGAATCGATATAATCTATTTTTTTTAATTTTTAGAATCTAAACTATATTATTGATTAACCAGAAATCCTATGGCGCTCAGTTGGTTTTTCTCATGCAACTCAAATCAAATTCCATGGTGGTTTTGGTCGCAGACCCCCAGAATGGTTATTTTGGAGTGGTGCTTGTCATTGAAGATGTTCTCCCTCGCATGACTCCCAGATTGTGGGAAGAGCCAAAGGGACGTACATCAGCGACGATTCCACCAACACCAACATCACAACCGGTTTGTTCTTGACATTCTTGGCTGTGTTCAAGGGTGGGACAATGAGCATACGAGTATATACGCTCTCTATGACATGATCCTAGGTGGCAGTAGTGCCACCTCACTCATCCAGGTGTAGGCATGTATGACTATATTTGAGCCATCCTTGTCTGTTGTAGCTTTTGCAGATCTCTTCAATGAAGATTCTGGTCATTGGAGGTAACAGAGCTTACATTTGCAGATCAGGACATACACGGTCATTCTCTTCGGCAATCTTGCACTATCAAGTGTTAAAAATTGACAACCACGGACTCCAAGAAAAGTGGTAAATGCCACATCGTTCTTGACAATCTCTTGGGCAATCTAGCACACCCAAACAGATTGATCATGCAGCAGTAGTGATCAGCAACAAGACCCTCAAGACCAGAAAGTGGTCAGCATGGGAGAGCATCAATGAAAGTGGTAAATTTAAAACTATTTTATAATTACTTTTCTGTTACTAATTAAATCTTCTTAAAGTTACGCTTGTGCACAAGCTAATGGTCAAATTTTATGTTTATGTTTCTTATTTTTTCCTCTTCTTGTGCATTGTGCTGTCCCAGATCTTGAAAAACCGAGCTGTTGCAAGGCCACGCATGAACGTTGGAAGGCAAGCTTTCTGTGGAATCCTGCTTTTGCAGATTCGACATGAGCACGTACAGCGCCGAGTCCCCTGGTTCTATCTCCAAGATTTTCTCTGCGGCACGAGCTGCAGCATCGATGTTGTTGCCGCTACCATGAACTTTGCAAGCGCTAAAACCTAAAACCGCATGCGAGGAAATGCGGCTGGAAGGGCATCACCAGCAGCAAACCTTCGGCCTCGGCAACCAGCCCGGCTCGTCCCAGCACATCTGCCATCGTCTGGAAGTGAATCACATTTGGAGAAATGCTGTACTAGGCCACACGGCGATGGAGGGCGAGGCGAGAAACGAGATAAGTTTCCAGGCGATTCTCCTGACTTGCAATCACGGTGGGAAGCTCCATGG